AAAGCAAGAATAGTAAACCATTTTTCTCTACAAATTACTAATATATACAGACAGTCCCTGACTTACGATGTTTCAACTTACAATCTTTGACTGTAGGATAGTGAGAAAACTATATGCATTCAGTAGAAGCCATACTTTGATTCTGAATTTTGATCTTTTCCCTGGCTAGCAATATGGGGTACGCGATACTCTTGCAATGCTGGGTGGTGGCAGGGAGCCTATATCCCAATCAGCTATGCCGTCACAAAGGTAAGCACCTGGTACTGTACTATGCACTGTATCTAATAAATTACATGAGCTATTCAAGACTTGGTTTAAAAATAGGCTCTGTGTTAGATGGTGTCGCCCAACTGTAGGTTAATGTAAGTTTCTGAGCACGTTTAAGGTAGGCTAGGCTAAGGTAAGTTAGGTGAATTAAATGCATTTTCAACTTAAAAAATTTTCAACTTACTATGGGTTTATCGGGACATAACCCCCTAATAAATCAAGGAGCATCTGTAATCTGAAAATCCTGAGGCATTTACTTAAATATATTGGGTTCCTATTAATAGTCATTGCACACACAGGCTTATCTGGAACCTCACTCATACAAGGTTCTATGAAAGGCACAGAGACATAACCTGCTCTTAGGTATTTTGTGTCTTCTGAATCGGGCTTGGGTCTGAAGAAGACTCTTGGGCATCCAAAATCCAGTAAAGATTTAAGGACCAACCAACTCCAATACTATGCAATATGCAAAAGAAATTAGAAGATACACTTTCTACCCCAAAGGAGCATGTCTGCTTAAGACATCACATAAACTAGGGAATAATACTAGACTAAATACATCATAGAAACCACAGACTATAAATGTATGAGAGTTAAGAAAATTACTGCCTTTAAGAATTAAAACACGGTTTGTGTATGTTGGGGATTGCTGTATTTTGAAGGAGGTGCAGGATTTGGGACTTTGGAATAGACATGATGCCAAGCAGTAGAACAAAAATAGTCAGGAAGGCTAAGATGAGCATGTGCCGGGGACCATTCTAAATGGAAGAGAGGACTCAATGTTCAACACATACTTACTTAGCACCAGCAATATAGAAAGCACCTTGGGAATGCAAATTTAATGCAAATTAAATGGTGTCTGCCCTCCAGGAGCTTCAGTTCTAGTAGAAGAGTAAGTAAGCAAGATGCAAAGTATCCTGAGTGGCATAAAAACAAACGTACAGCCAAGTGCGGTGGGATTGCAAATGAGGGAGAATTCCTGCCTGAGTTGATCAGGGAATGTTTCAAAGAGAATGTAGTGTCTAAATTTGGCCTTGAAGGGACTTTGTTAAGCAGAGATAGTAGGTGGGACATTATAGATGGAATGTGGAGGAGAATCAGTGTTTATCTCTACTGTATGCCATCTATAATCTTATTTAATCCTTCAGAGTGTTAATGGAAAAAAAAACTCACTGTGTAAAATATTGAATTTATTCTGAGCCACGTGTGTATGACCAACAGCCTAGAGACCATGGCCTCGAGGTCCTGAGAAAATGTGCCCCAGGTGGCCAGGTTAGTGTGGTTTTATGCATTCATGGAGACAGGAATTACACACAAAATCATAAATCAATACGTGGAAGGTGTACATTGGTTTAGACTGAAAAGGTAGGACATCTGGTTGGGGCAAGGGGAAAGCTTGACATATTTTAAGATAAGCAAGTTTGCTAATCATAGACAAGCCACCAGACACATGGACATATACTGAGACTCCAGTGATCTGTTAAGTAAACTGACGGTTTCCTGCAGGTGTGGCTTAACCTTTGTCTTGCACGGCCTTAGGTCCTGTTAATGATTTAGTAATTTTTTGTTACAAACAGTAACTCCAAAAGGGAGGGGGCATGACAAGGTGTGTCCAATCTCCCTTTTCTTCATGGCCAGCAACTCAGCTTTAATGTTTTTCTGGGGTACCATTGGCCAAGAGGGGGTCCATTCAGTCAGTTGGGGGGGCTTGAGATTTTATTTTCGTTCATAAGAACAGAAGGATTATCTCCCCATTTTATAGGTGAGGAGGTTGCATCTCCCAAATGCTATGAAACCTTGTCCTGCAGATGCTGGAGCTGATATCTGAAACCAGGACTGTGTGATGCTCCAGCCCTGCGCTTGCACCAAGGTGCAGACGTGGAAGAGCCCTGAGACCAAGGGAATAAACAATGTCCTAATAACACTATGAGTTGGATTTAAGGATGATTCGTGCTGTATGAGCTCATCACATAGAAAGGGCACTCAGTGGGTCAGAGTCATGTAGGGAAAGGAGCACAGGCTTTAGATTTGAAAGACCTT